GGACGTCCATGGGTACAATCAACTGCTATCTAATATTTCTAAGGACGGATTTAGCAGGAGTGAATCATATCGTTTGCATCGATGGTACAGTTGCTGATGATTTCTTATGCTAATCCACAATCTGGATATAGCAGACTCGTTATTGGGAAGATCTGAAGAACTGTCATTGAAATCTGGACATCGATTGCTTTCGCATCATACAGCTCAGGCAGTAACGAGAGATATTATCGTAAGCCGGATATCGTGATGAAGACTGAAAATTACGAAGCCGATGTCAACTAGGAATAAGTCAATTATTGCAGCTAATGAACTTTATTAAGTGAGAATTTCTTACACGTCGTACTGCTGATGTTTTTTACCAGTGGTTTTTCACGTGTGAGTGTGTGTGCTGTGGTTGGCGACGGCATCCACGCGCCTAATTGGAGGTATACAATCCTCAGGAAGGCGAGGCGACTCTCTTGACTATACCTATACACTAATGCACTATATAGTGTATTCAGCTAGCATTGCTAGGTTATATACTACGGAGCACAACTCAAGGCGTTTGTAGCAATGAAAGCCGTTAACGCAATACGTCGACCTCGGTTTAATCACTGACAGGACTTGTATCTATGTGTCAGCATTTTTACTTTATTTTACGGGACTAACGAATGCTTGGCGGCTGCTGCTGCTGCACACTGCGCTGCTAAGACTACATCCCCGTGGATGACTCCACGGCCCCCATTGATGACGACGTTTTCGACAAACGTCTGTTATATTTTCTTGGCGGCGGGGGAGGGAATATCTACGCTTCCGCCCGGACTTCTTTCGCTGATAAGCGGACTCACGACTAATGGTGATGGTGGGCCGAGATGGCTACGGATATTTTTAATTATTTATTTTTAATTCATTTTGCATTCCAAATTCATTTTCATTCCAAATTCATTTTCATTTCAAATTCATTTTCATTTCAAATTCATTTTCATTCCAAATTCATTTTATTCCAAATTAATTTTCATTTCCAAATTCATTTTTATTCCAAATTCATTTTCATTTCAAATTATTTTTCATTTCAAATTTATTTTCATTCCAAATTCATTTGCGAGAACAAATCGCGGTGGCCGAGATGGCTACGGATATTGGTGGAGGCGGAGTGACGTCACTTCCCCTTAGTGGGACCCAACAAACCTTCAAAACAAGAGAACAACCGCCATTTGTAAATGTTTTGTTTTGGTTTATGATCGGTAGACAAGTAAATTTTTCTGATGTATATTCCATGAAAAACACACCTTTTACTCATTAATATAAAAAATAATATCACTATAATTGCAATTCTTTGTGTAAATGTGTTATTTTCATCTTCGTCTTAAAGTTATGAGAGAGTCTCGGCTCTCGTAATACTACATGATTATTACGTACGTACTCGTACTATAGCCCTTCGCTCCGTCGCAGGAGCGTGTGTGTGTGCGTGTGCCTTTGCGTTTGTGCGCGCCGTGTGCCTATGCGTGTGCGTGCGCGCGCGTATGTGTGCCTGTGCGTGTGTCTTTGCGTGTGTGCGCGCCGTGTGCCTATGCGTGTGCGTGTGCGTGTGCGTATGCGTTTGCGTAAGTGCGTACGTGCGTGCGTGCGTGCGTGTGTGTGTGTATGTATGTATGTGTGTGTAATGTATGTACGTGTGATGTGGTTATCGCGTCTT